AGTATGTAGGTATGTGTTTTTACTTTTCATATACATATGGAAATCTGTCCTGAGGAATTTTTTTTCACCCATATTTTCTTTGAAATTGTTTGGGCAAAATACACCAAAACAATAGTTGTGATAGTAATTGTAAAAAATATATAACAGATATATAGAACTACTGTAAACCGATGAGTATGTGTGTTTCATTATTGTGAACTACTGTGTTCAGTGCAGCAACCATGTTGATTAGACTGAAATTAGGCTGTTGGAGAAGTGATTCTAGAAAGTTGACCAGGGTGGTGTGACATGTTGTGTGTGTAAAAAATTAGGCTGTTGGAGAAGTGATTCTAGAAAGTTGACCAGGGTGGTGTGACATGTTGTGTGTGTAAAAAAAAATCATAGTTATATTATGAAAAAAAAGGGAAGTCGTGACTTTGTTTCAAATTGTAAAATACTACTTACAAAGCTCAAGTGTAAAGGATGACATTTCAAAAGTCTTCAGACAACAGGTGGAAGACTTTTGAAATGTACATCATCCTTTATATTTGAGCTACATAAGTAGTATGTATGTCACCAAATATATTTTCTACAAGTGTTTTTCTAATAGGCAGTAGCCACCTATTTCACATTCTATTCAACATTTTTTATTTATTTTTTAATTAGCACGATCACCTGTGTTTGCTGCCATGTTTGAGCATGAAATGGAAGAAAAAAAACAGGTTAGTAGTTTGTATTGCTCAACAGTTCCAACGATTTCATCAGAACAAAAATTATTACATAGATTCAATCCAAAACTTTTGTAGTTTTGGTTGCAAATTTGCTTTGACAAATGGCATGTTTGTCATTTTCTTCTAAGTTCACATATAAGTACCTTGGTGTGAGAAGGTTAATCTGTAATTTTTCTGTTAAAGATTATAAGATTTTAACAAACACTGATTTTTCATATAATTGTTTAACATTGTTGTGTTTAATGTTTGTGCTTGTTGTACAATAGATTTAGGGGATACATCATGAAAAAGTTTTAATTTATAGAAACAAGAACTTTTGTTAAATATTGGTGTTAGTTTATATTAGACACAAGTTAACATTATTGACTTCAGATATAGCATCTTCCATTTTGTGTCAAACATTCAGATCTGTCAAATATTCTGCTAAACATATTATGTTAGAAACTTTGCCAATTGGACTAGTAAAAACTGATAGATTTATAATTTGTAACATTTTTTTTTCCAAGGTAAAATAAATACCAGATGCAGCTTAATTATATAAAACTGACAGAGATCAACAGTACAACTTTTTTGTCATTGAAGTATTAACATTTTATGGCTAATTATTATCAGATTTCAGAGTTGTGGACAGTTGGTTCTGTTGTGGGTAACTGTATTAAAATGGATTTTTTCCAACTAATCTTACTTTTAGAATGAACCCCTTAACATTCTAGATTAGCTGTTCTCACAGTGTAGGTCATGAAACGTCTTCAGATGAATTGGAAAAACTGGTTTAGATAATAAAATGTAGGCTTAATATTGATAGAAGCTGGTGTAGACTGTCAAGCTTATAGTATTTTGTATACATTTACTGAAAGATTTTAAGTGTTGTACTTTCTTTAGGGCTTTTATGACAACAAATTAATATTTCTGACTACTAACATATAGGCTCTTTCAATTAATGAAGCAGTGAGGAGATTTAAGTGTTTACAACTTTTTGCAAAAATATACATATGAAATGAAAATATTTTTTAATATACTTAGAACTTGTATTTTTTAGAACCGGGTAGAAATCACTGACATGGATCATGAGGTTTTACGAGAAATGCTACGTTTTATTTATACTGGGAAAGCTCCAAATTTAGAAAAGATGGCAGATGATTTATTAGCTGCAGCAGATAAGGTATGTATACAAACTGATTTTTAATTTGTAAATTTTGAAACTAATACTTTATTATGCTATGAAATGATTTCCTTTTCTTATTAGCCATTTGAATGTTTAAAAATGAAAAAAAAACACTTAAATTTAAAAAGGACATTTTCATTGTATTTTCACATCAAAAATTTCTGTACTGCATTTAAGCATTTTGCATCTGTTGTCTAAATGAATTGATGAATACTTCCCATGCCATTAAAGTCTTTGAGGCTCTAAATACCTGCACAGTAATAATTAATGTTTAACTTTTAGACACATAAAGTGTCTTAACATACATTGATGCTTTTCACAAGTCACTAGAAATAATCATCAGGTTTTTATGTATCTATGGGCAGGATTATTTACAGTCTGTGAATTGTTGGTGATAAATTTCAACAACGAACAAACAGCACACAGTCTACTTGCTTTAAAATAATATATGTATTAAAACAAGTCAGATGTATATACAAATGTTTGTTATACAGTTAAGCACTACAGTTGTATCCAGAGCTTTAAGTAATAGTTTCTTCTCATGAAAAACCACACAGGCTGGTTCAGTTACTTTAGAACACAATTAATGAGACAAATTATTCTTCTCTGCTCTGTTATTACAATACAATCAGTGATAAGTTCACTTATGTTACACTGTTGGTTACCACAGTTGTATCCAGAGCTTTAAATAATTCTTTTCATCAAAATTCCACACAGGTGTGTTAAATTACTTTAGAACACAATTGACGGGACAAATTATTTTCTACACTGTTGTTACAATACAATGTGATAGAAATTGCCACTTTACACTAATTATGGCTAAACTCAATCACTTACTAACACTCACAATGATAACTTTTTCTTACTTACTCAAAGTACATTTTGTATGCTTATTTATGGATAGCCCAACTGAGGCCTAGAACTTTTCACACAATACAAGATATAATGATGTAATAATATTCAAGAAAAACTTGGAAGGTTCTAGTAACATGGCACAATAATACAACAGTCGCCAACTTAGGACAGTTCATCTACACAATGTATGATTTGCACAGTTACATAAACAAACCTGCAATAAACTATCGCTTCTGAAAATAACTAAATTTAACTGTCGTGTTATACTTAAACAGAAAGTCGTGTATATCTAACAATAATTCAGTATGATTTTTTTATGCTAAGTATTACACGTGTGTATGTATGAGTTCATAAATTATTTTAAAACTTTTATTATGTTTTTAGCATCACAATAATATAAAGGTTGATTTTTAAATTTTTTTCTGTCAGTTTATTTAAAATATTCCAGATCAGAATTGATGTACTTTTTTTATTCATTTCTCTTTGATTCATTTTATTTTGACTAGTACACAATCGTCAAGTTGTGTTTGGTTGTGTTGTGTTTTTTACTGAAAAAAAATTCACTTTTAAGCATTAAGAACAGTTTTAATATAATATTATTACTTTCAGTATGCTCTAGATCGACTGAAAGTAATGTGTGAAGAAGCTTTATGTTCAAATCTTTCTGTGGAAACTGCTGCTGATGTTCTAACGTTGGCTGATATGCATAGTGCAGAGCAGTTGAAGGCTCATGCCATTGATTTTATCAATACGTAAGTAAATTAATTTAGAATCGTCTAGATGATCTTAGTTATTTAGTTTCATACATTTGAGAGTTTAATAACTGATCAGTTTGTTCCTTGTGGTTCTGAGTGTGAAGAAATAGCCTCCAAGTGTGACAACAGTAAAGGTGGTATATTTTTCTATTTTAAGTGTCATTAGTAAAGCTGGTGTGTTTCTGTGTTAAGTGTAATTTCTCATTAGTGTTGGTTACTAAACTTAATATGGGTGGTAAGGATAAGGTTTTATACTATCTCTGAAAGAAACCATTTGTTGGTTTTACACTTTATTTTTTACATTATTTCTTTCCAAATAAATTAATTTCTTATTTTTAATTATAAAGAACAATCAACTATGTATTTTGTATAGTTATGTGTGAAGTTTAATATATTTTGTCCAAATATTTGTTGGTTTTATTAATATTTGTGTGATTTAAAAGTTCTTTTAATACTCATTATAAATTTGTCTAATTGTTCTGGTATTTCAGGCATGCTACAGATGTATTAGAGACAGCTGGGTTTAAGACAATGATTCATCGGCAACCTCATCTCATTGCTGAAGCCTTTCGGGCTCTAGCCACTCAACAGATCCCACCAATAGGCCCACCTAGGAAGAGAATCAAACAGTCTTGAAGCTAGTAAAATCTGTATGAGTGATACATAACTTCAGTAAATTATTTCCCAGTCATTCTTTCAACAATGTTCATGCTAACTTCTCCACATCACCTCCATTATAGTTGTTGTGTACAGAAGACTAGAATATCACAGTTGTTGATACATCACTTGTTGTTTCTAGTGATTTCATGGACAACAGTGTTTGCCATGCATTTTTTGACAAAGATTGCTGTAACTATTGGCTTGGAACAGGATAATGTTTATCATTGGAAAGATAGTATAACGTGGTTATTTGTGGTACCAGACTTTTTATGGATTTTTAACCAAAAGACTACTTGTGTACTCAAGTATTATTAGTATTGATTAATCTGTAGCTCTATCCTTTTGTGATTGTCTTTATTGAAGGCAAGTTACGTGTGATTTTTTTTTAGTGGTAAGTTATTGTGATCCATGATCAGGTAATATCTGTAGTGATTTGGTGTATGAAATGTGATAACTAGGCTCTAAACCAGTGCACTAAGGTTCCTCTCACAAATTTTTCCATAACTGAAAAAAATTTCTTTGAATTTTTTTTCCAGAAAAACTAACAATTGGAATTCTGTGTAGGATTTTATATACTATAAATGAGACTCTAAATTAAAATTTTGGAGGCTAAACTTTGTTAAAATATTTGAAAGAGTTTTGACAATCTTTTGTATTTTTGTAAAAATGTCATTTTCTATAAATTTAATTTAATTTCCTTGTATTATTTGGAGGAGAGTAACACTAGTTATTTGGAAGATAGTGCATCTTTCTTCCATTACGAAAGCCAAGACTGAAGTAAATGAAGTTGTGTTTGTACTTACATCTTTGGAAAGAATTTTATTATTATACTTCAACAAATGGAGGAAAATTAAATGTTTCTTTTCTAGTAATTTGTTTCAAAATAGATTTTAAAAAAAGTAATCTTTATGTCAATTAAAAATAAATTGATGTTCTCTTTATTACTGAGTAAAATTTATTTCTGTGATACAATTCTAAAAAAGTTAGAAATTTAACAAAATCAAGTATTAGAATCTACTTTGAATGATTTCTCAGTCTGATTAATAGAAAATTCCAACACCTTAAAAAAAGACTCAAAGTAGCAAGATTTGTAAGGAGCTTGTAATAACAATTTGCAGGCTTGTCAAAAACATTTATAGTGTGGGGTGTATTTATTGTATTGGTACTGTGAAGGTATTCCTGTTTTAATCCTTTTTTTTTCTTCAAATATTCAGTTAAAATACACAGCTATTTCACAGTAATTTATTCATATTGGAAATGTGAGAAGTTTAAATCGCAAGCTTTAATGAATGAAAAACTATGTTGAAACTGCATTAGAAGTGTTGGCTTCTGTACATTCATTTGCCAGTTTTATGGTGACTAACTTGTGACAGTGTAAACAATATAAAAACATCAGTTTAACAAATTAGAGGACATGTACATGTAATTCAGATCATGCTGTGAACTCCCCATGGTAGTGGCCTGCCTGAATTTCATTAGTTTAAAATGTTCAGTAAATCCATTATTCTGCCTTTGTAGTAAGTGACCCTGGTTATTAATTTGAGGCCAGTAAAGCAAGGTATTCTATCTCAACCCCAGTGACCTGGATACTTATCCATATGGCTGGTAAAGCTAAATATGTTAAACTTGTATTTATGCAGGACAAATGTTTCTTATTCTTATCTTGCATCACTATGTTGACATTTTGTTTTTGACTAATTCACTTAGTTGACAAATGTAGTGAAGTAGGTATCTCTGCTATGCTTTAGTCTATAGTACTGAGAATATTACTATAAACCTAAAATATTGAATGCTACTATAAAAACATGCCTCTTATCTCAGACATTACCACAAATTATACATTACACGATTATGAAATTAACTTAAATTTTTGTACCTCGTATGCTAAACTTAAGAGCATTTATATAGTATGTGATTTGCAGTAGTTGTTCATGAGATTTGTGACTATTGTTACCAGGGGAATTTTAATTTTCTTCAGTCTTTCAAATACCGGTTGATTTTGAACATATTGTTAACTTTATTTAGGAGTTTTAGACTTAAAATTGATAGTAATATAAATTTTGTTTATTATAGTGCAGTGTGTGTACTTTAAGATGAAGGGGAATACTTGTTCTTATTCAGATAATCTAACAGCTTATTACCTGTTTTTACTTTTATTGTTATACTACAGTCTGTCTTCTCTATCTATGTTCAAACCATTTTTTAAATAGACATGGCAATCAAGATGCTGTACAAATAAAGCTGAACAAAATGTTTAGTGTTGGATACAAGAGGTATGAAACCTTGCCCAGTATGTAGAAAAAAATCAAATTATTTGCTTCTTAGTTTTAAGTCATTCCAAGTTTAGTTAGTAGTTCATATTTATTCCACTTGGAGGTGGTAGTTTTACACCAAACTATACATCTTACTCTGATGTACTTTAATTTACAGAGCTGTACATGTTACTTTCAGCCATACTTGACATATGGCATCATTGCTCCTTGATCATATATTTGTGCAAGTATTTTGTGGGTTAAAAGCCACTTTTCTTTAACTCAAAATGCTGTTTGATTACTTAATCGTTTACTTATTCTGCAAAAGTTACTTGTTTTTTGTTGTTTTTTTTGCTGCACCTTTTGGTTTAGTTCTGGTAGCTGAGCTCAAGTCAACTTAAATTTTCTATTACATTGTTGCTGGCAATAAAACATTAGATACTGTCTGATACTACCAATATTTATAATTGCTTAAGTAATGCTGTGATTTATGATTACTTTGTGTTCTTATTGGTTTATTCTGTAGAACCCTATGGTGCTCATTTATGACTATGGAGATAATTTTGTAATTATTCTTGTTGGTTTAACCCTGCTCAGTTGTATGTGTTATTTTAAAAAAAAATTATAACACCACTTGAATCAGAAACCCTTGATTTAAACAGGTTTCAGGGAATTCCACCCCTCATCAGTAACCCTGGACAAGGGCAAATTGAAAGAGTAAGACTAGGCTTTATGTAGTGATAGAGTGTATGTTATGTGTATGGATTTCAGATGTCTTTAACTTGCACATACCACTTGTATTATTGCTACTTAAGGTTAAACAGCCTTACTGTTCAACTTCACAAGAGTTTGGCAAAGAGTGGTTTTTCTCAGTCTCATAGAGTTCTGCATGTGTTGAAATCAGTCTGGAAAATTTGTTTTTTTGAAGGATTCATCAACACAAAATCTGCCATATTGAACACAGTTCTTTTCTTTTCAGAACACACAGGAAAAGTGTCCTTACTGCTTTTGTGAGCATTCTAGAGTGCATACTTATATCATTGTTAATGATGGTTAAACAGTTTTACATTCTAAATACCAAAAATCGTAAGTATTCAGTTGCACTCACTACCATTGCTATGTATATTGGCTTAACTGAGAAAATAACAGATAGTTGCAAAGCTTTGCTATTGACATATATAATCAATATCACTATTATTGTTTTTTGACATTGTACAGTATCATAATGTTATGTTCTAGTACCCTGTTTCTAAGTGTATATCAATAAAAAAAAAAATTAAAAAAGAGAATCTTTGCATTAGTATAAGAGCAAAAAATAATACTAATGTTAACTGGTCAGTTGAATGTAATTTCAACAAAGAGCTTTAATGTAAAAATACCTGCAGGTTCAAACAGTATACATCCTAAGACTAATTGTTGATCTCAAGATTGAGTGTTAGTACAAAAGGTATTCTTAGTGCTTGTAAATAATATCATCTGTATGATTATAAATATATATATATAGGTGTATGATTATGTATTAATTCCCCAATTTCTCTGTTTTGCTTTAAATATTTAGTTGAAATTCCTCAGATTCATGTTTTGTTTTTCAAGTTTTGAGCTGATGTAGTAGAAAACGATTTTGACGTTGTCGGTGACAGGTGGGTGTAATGCTATTATTGATAATATTTTGTGGTGTCAATGCACTTTAATGGAAATGTGACAAGTTTAATACCTCAGAAGTTCTATTCAATTCTGGGCACAAACAGTTTGTATGTTGTGAATGGCGAACAGGGACTTCTAGAGTTTTGTACAGCATTTGCAGAAATGATCCAAAATGTTGTATAACCCACCTGTTGGATAATTACTTTTAATAAAAATGTCTGTCCATCACAAAATGTTTTTTCTTTTTTCAAACAAATGTTTCTAGTTATATGCAGCTTTGGCTTAAAAAATTAGTGCTTATTTGAATATTTTTCTATCATTTAAAATGCTTTTCAGTCCATTTCAATAAACTAAGAAATATAGTACTCTCAATGGAAGTTTACTTTGTTGTATCCTGAATTACGTATAATTTTTTTGTACATTTATCTAAATATTTAAAAAAGCCCAAGCATTACATCTTGAAAACAGAAATTTTACAATGACATTTAACGTATCTTTTAGTTAAAAAAAACAAAAACAAACTGACATCTTGCAAGAGAATGGTTTGTGGATTTCTATATATTCTTTTTTTTTGTTCCAAGTTCCATTCCTGAGATGAGAGCAAATTTGTATAAAATCGCAGGGGAAAGTGGTCAGGATCTTGTTAAAAAAAAAAAAACACTGGAAAATATTTTGGGAATTCTCTTACTATAACCTCAGACATAAAAAGTTCTTCCATTCTTTTTCTTGTTTGTTCATGTGCTTGGTTGGTGCCTGTGATGGATTCTCCATGATTTCAACCGATCAAGTGGCTTGTTATTTATGACTTGCACAACCCAGTTTAGATTTGAAGAAATTCCACAGCCATTGGAAGGTAATATTGTGAACTAATCTGTTAATTGTTTCAAATCATGCATAAACTCAGTATAGAATGAATGAATAAGCATGTTTTTTTGTGTATGAAAAGAAAAAGTTGCAGTAATTTGTGTTTTGAAATGATGTATATATATATCTTTGTGAAAATTGCTGACCAGTCTGGCTTAAACTTTCTCCAGCATAATTTCAACTGCTACCAATTTCATCTGTGTGATGTAAGTTCATTATGTAGTAAGGACAGCTTCTATGGTCCTGTAAGAGACAGTAGGTTCACTCTTAAGTACTTTTTAAGCATATAGTATACGGTAATCACAAGGATTAGGTAACATCAGTTGTGCTACATTTTAAGCAAATGCGTTTTCTTTTGAATAACTTACTCAAAGATTATTATAATCCTAGAAATTATATTTGTGATTATGTTTGTAATTAGACATTTGTTTTTAATGTTATTTTATATAATTAAGGTTTCATGAAATTTTGTTGATAACTGAATTATGTGGTGTCAATTCCAACACTGACCCAAAAATTCCTGACAGTGTTCCTATAATCTTTTTTGTTATGTATGTTTAATCCAGGTATTGCTTTGTATACCCAGTCCAGTAATCATAACTTTAACGTAAGTAATTAACCATTCTTTTAAGAACCCTTGAGTAAAAGAAAAGAAATATGTTGTGTCAAACAGTATATCTGCCATATCCAGTGCCAACGAAGCCTTTCTCTCAATAGCAGTGCTCATCAGGTCATTATTGTAGCATTTGGTCACTCGTTTATGTGCAATGATTAGGTTTATTTTTATGTTCACATTTACCTAGTTTAATCATGCATTGTTATTTTGGTATGTCTGTTTAAGCTAGTTTATTCAAATACTGATGAACAGTTCTGACACCATTACCCATTACTATAACTTTATTCATTATTTGATGTAGAAGTCATCTGTTGTATTTGTCTTCATATGGATGAAGTTATTTTCGAGACAATAACTCATCTCTGCACACAGAAATGCTACCTTCCTCACACATGCTTATGAGATTTGCATGCCACTAGCCTTGAGGTATCTCCCATCTAAATTCACGTGTTTAACTTGAACTGTAAGGTGTATGATGATGTCATCATGCAACAAAGCCATTCACAAATAGAAGGGCAACACAACCACCATGTGCAGTGACTCCCTCTTTGCATTCTCACTTGTGGTAACACTGTTCTTTTCCTCAACATCATATGACACTGTTCAGATTCAATTTGATGAGACTTGGATTTATTAATGAAACTTTGGATTTTGTCTTTCCAGCTTTATTATAATGAATTTCAAGTGACAGTGATTCAACTTTGTCATACAGGCCCTATCTCTACTATGTTGTCAGGGGAATTGTTGACTGAGGTGGGTGTCACAGCTATTGTGCAGCATGTTGTAGGGTTCATCATGCATGCTATGCATTTTGTTATTGTCCATTCTTCCGATATTCCTTACCTCGTTTTGTGTTTTAACTGGAGGAAGACAAATTTGATCCTGTGTTCCCTCCTGGATTTGCATTGGATATTTCCTTACAGGTCAATAAAAGTCATCAGCCTTCCATACTGTTTCAAGACTTGATTTCTCAGGTATGTTTCTTTCTTTCTCTCTCATCCATGTCTTATGATTTTTCTCATACTTTATTCCTTGATAATATTTAGTCTTCACTCCCTCAAATGACATTTGGGTTCATGCTGAATCCTTCTTTGAACAACTTCTTAACTATTACCATATGCCTCATTCTCTTTACCTTTTTGATTCTCATGTCCAAGCTCACAATCATTCCTATTTTTACCTTCTAGATTCTTAATCTTTGGAATTACTATTGTCTGCTTGGGGAGCAGACCCCTCCGTCTCCTGTTTCATCTTCAGTGCTTAATTTTCTGTTTTCGTCTTTTTCTCACCACCCTTCTTCATTACTTCTCCCTCTTATATGTTTGAGGTATTTCATCGTGCTCCGGATGAGTTTTCAATATAAGTTCTTTCTCTTCTATTTTACTACTATGGCTTGTACCATTTATTCTGCCATATCCCTGCATACTTTGTTCCTCTGCTGTTGGGACTTGTTAGGTATTGTGTCCTTACTATTGTGCCCTGCCTGCTTCCTATCTGCATAATCTTTGAGGCTCCCTTCTTTGCCCTGATGTCTTTGGTGTTCCTGACTCACTAGAGACCCAGGCCAAGGCAGCCTGACATCAGTCCTCATTATCTTCTCTGGTGTTTCACCTTTTTAAACCTTGCCTTTCAACTCCTGTTCCTTGACTGGGTCAGTCTACCCATCATCTTCCATACCTTTCTCCTCTTCTTGCATCCCCCACTGCCAGGCCCATTGCACATTTCGATTATGACTATCCCATTAGTTCAGGACTCGTGGGTATCTGCTTAAGTAGGTTTACCAACTTTTGGTCATAGTTTTCTACCGACAGATGAGTTCTTCAAGTCTTCACCCATGGTCTGTTTCTTCACTTCCCATTTCCTTTTCTCTCTCATTTGATCTTGTCTTATCTTCAGCATCTTGAGTAAATAGTATTGAATCTTTTGACCAATCATTCCATTGAGAATGTATAACTCTCATATGAGTTTTTACTCTCATCTCTTTGTGGTCCTCAAGAAGACTGAGGATTGACATCCAATAATTGATCTCTCATCTCTCAGTTGTTTTCTGGTCATACCACATTTCCAGATGGATGTTTTCTCTCCAGTGATCATTTTCATTCACTCTGTGGATGACCAAGGTCAACATTTCAGACCTCTTCTACATCCCAATTGCTCAGTCCTCCAGACATTTTCTACATTTCATTCACTAGAATCACGTCTTCCAATTCTGTTCTCTTCCCTTTAGCATAATGTCAGCTCCTTATGTCTTCAGTAAAGCCATAAGGACCTTCACTCACCACCTTTATGGCTTGGGACTGAGATTCCACTTCTACATGGACAACTGCCTCCTCTTAGCCCATTCCCAGAAGATATCTTCTTACATCTCCCTTCTTCTACAGGAGGCTGCTCAGTTTTGGTAGCTTGTCAAGATATCAAAGTTCTTTATTACACCCACTCAGAATTTGGTGCATCTGGGTATCCTCTTCAACTCCCCCTCTCAGCCAAGCTCAACTTTCTCTTTACCCAAATTTTTTGCCCTTCTCATACTCTATAAAAGGTTATTTTGCTTTAGGAGACTCTGGCTTTCTTAACATCCTTTATTCCTTTGAGGTGTGCACACATGCACCTTCTCTAGTGGGCCCTGTGGGATGAATGGGATCCTTCTAAGGGTTCAAGTGTCCTCGATAATGAACTTCCCCTCTCATCTACTTAAGAAATTGTCATGGTAATTGAACTTTGCCAAAACTACGTCTGGAGTTCCATTACTACTCCCTAATGTTATTTTGTAATGGTTTATCAGTCTCCACCATTGCTGGTTATTGGGTAGTATTATCCATTACATTTCCCCCTTCCCAGTACCAGAGGGTGTTTTATTCCCCTTTACTATCCACTTTCTTCTGCTCTTTGGCAATATCTTTGCCTGACTGGGATCTTGGTGTGATTTTGTATGCTTTCACATATTTGCATACTTTTTACCTTTTCAAGCCCTTTGACTTCTTGCTTTATATATCACCTTTCTCTCAGGACTTATTTTTTCCTCCTCACCTATTGCCAATTATTCTTCTCATACTTTCTTCCACTGCACTTTATCCAGATTGGTCTTCTCTTCCTAAAATACCTCTGCCACTCAGGAAGATGACTGCACCTTCTCTTTTATCTCTTCCTTCTATCTCTCACTTCTACAATCATTCAAGATCTGGATTGATTATTGTGTCCTGTTTAGGCTGTTCAGTATTACCTATCATATACCTCTCCCTTTTAGGGTCCCGGTCATTGTCTGTTTATACCTTTGAACTCCTTCCAGGGATCTCTTTTTCTACACTCACTGGATGGGTCTGCCAACTTGTCTGGTTGATATATACTTCCTGGATGTGGATGCTTGCAGGCTGTTCTGTGTTTCTTCACATAAAATTTGTCGTCTGTGTCATTCTCTTGCTTCCCAGTTTCTCTGGCATTTGGACGAAATACTCCAGGTGGGCATGTAGATGTTTCACCACAAATTCATCTCATTATCTCCACCATCTGTCTGTTTTGTCTCCTGGGTTTTGACTTCAACTGGTCACCATTCTTCAATTGACTCACCATCTTTGAAACGGGTAAGTGTATATATATTTCCCTTTTCTTGTTTTTTAACCAATTGGGGTAATACAAAGCAATTAAACTATCAGCCCTAGCTCTACCAGTGCCTACTGTGGGATGGGGTACTTTGTAAGACCACTTGAGGTATCCTCATGGTATACATATTTATCCAATTGTCTGATCTAGACCATA